ACCAGCTGCTCTCAGACAGATCACAGGCACAGTGGACTGCATAATAAAATCATCCAGATGCATTCAAGAGGAAGTCAAGATCTCTGTGTACTAACATTATTTTTTCACATCACAGAGCACAGGTGGGAACAGGAGAAATGCTCTGTTGTGGCTACTCTGACATTTTTGAAATCATGACTGGAAAAAAGAGAGAAAACTCAAGTGGAACAAGTGCAAACCTCAAAAGGCATAAGATTTCAGATTATGTTCTATAGATTCATGTATATTACTAAGATTTACTAAGATTCCTCATTCTAAAAAACTGCCCCCAAAATTCCTTTTTTTTTTTACACATCTTTACCTTTCAATAAATAAAAATCTAAGTAAGTATTATCAGATTTTTGAGGGTTTATGGTCTCTGGCAAAGACAGCAATTAATTTGACTAGCAACAATAATAAAGTGAGGATTAAGCTAATTTCAAGTAAGAGTCTCTTCCTCCAGAAGAGTACCATAAATCAATCAAGAAGCCTTAAGCAGCTTCAAATTAATTCTCCAGCTTCTTCTAGATTAATTCTAAGTCTTTAGCTCTTAAAGTATCTAGAAAGGTGAAAGATAAGCTAATTGTTCATCTCATTATTAGTTTTTCTTCAGTCAGTAAGTTACCTTATTTATAGCATCACAATTCTTCTAATCAGAGCTCTCACAGCAGTTTTGTTGCATTACCAGTATGGCACAGGGACACCTCCACCTTCTCCAGCAGACATGCAAGCAGCAGAATAACCTGTGTGCCCTTCTGCTGCCCCAGGTGCCATCAAACACAGCTCTCCACACAGCCCCTGTGCTTGGCTGGGGAAAACATGACTATGGCATCAGTGCTGCTTTCCAAAAAGCTGCTGTCAGTTCCACCAGTAACATGTACCAGGCATGACTGGTGCAGGTGCCCAAGGATGGAAACTCACTGTCACTAAACCTGACCTGCCCACCCCCGCTGTAATGGGACTGAGCGAGAGCGAGGACTCCAGAGGCAACACAAAGCTTGAAATTCCAAATGCAGACCTAACACAGAGCAGAAATGCTCTCATTCTCTCTACTTTCAGGTCAAATTTAAGTTTTTGTGCTCAAGATCCCAGTTTGCCTTTACAAAGTCCTGTCTCAGGCTGTTCCAAACCCCGCTGCTTTTCTTCCTCCCTACTCACTCACTCTGCTTTTCTCACTCCTTTTGTGTTTTAGGGTCTCTTATTCTCCTCTGAGCCTTATCCCATGCTGCTCTCTGGGTTAAGATCTACCCCCCTGGGAAGGCTTTTGATGTCCTATCTCAATAAATTTGGGCTAACACTCAAATTCAATGGGAGTAAAGCTGACCCATATCATTGGGGCTCTCTTGCCAAGCATCCCCTGTCCTTCCTCTTGTCTCATCCTGTCATTATTTAGTGTCTGTAACTCTCTCCTTCTTCTCCTTAGCTGTTGGCCTACACTTCATATTTGCCAATTTTGCCATACTCAGACTGAGAGTTCCTACAGGCAGAGTACCAAGTTGTTAGATTTTCCCTTTGTCTACAAAATGGTGTCTATTCAGTATTCTCCCATAACAATGGAAAGAGATGATCAATTTAAAACACCAAAGGAAGGAAAAAGTTTGCACACAAGCAGGAAGAGGACACGCTATTTTCTTAAATTGTACAGGCAACTAAGGAACTACTTTTTTCAAAATCACTGATCATATACAAGGTAAAAAGGCATTGTTTAGAAAAAAGCATAAGAAAGGCACCAAGGTTACTAGAGACTATCATATCCTTTGGTTTGGGAATTTCAGCTGGGCTCTGGCTCTTAATTCAGCACAGTTACAAGGTAATTCTGCAAGTACAATCCTCTAGGGACTGCAAATGAAAATAAAAGTCATATTCAAATCAACTGATTTCAAGGTCACGTATTTGCAATCAAGGCAACAGGGAACCAAAAAGCCTTGCAAAACTTGCAAAATAAGCAGAACTCATGCAACCAGGAAATTCTTACAGGTATAACAGCAACCTGGAGCTGCTAAACTCAGTGGTCAGTAGTTCCACTGAATATAGTAAGAAAAATTAGGCTGTGAATTAAGAGATCAGAGAATTTGTAACGGGAGGCTAACATGGAAAATTAAGTGGCTTGGAATGCAGACAAGCTTAGAGGGTGAAGCAATGGCTGTTTTGAGAACCCCTATTGGGCACTTCTATAGAGTGCTAATAATTTGTCAAATGTACTAACGGCTGCAACACAGGCAGAAGGAGTCAAACAACCTTATATAATGATATTAAAAAGTGATTTCATCCATCACAAAAAAGAAATGTAACAGAAAAATCTCTAGCATGTAGGCATAAAAGTGTGAGAACAGATCTTCCCAGCAATGGATCAGGAAGATCTGATCTTTGGCACTATTTCCAGAATGACAAAAGTTTTAGACAGGTTACCTCTTTCCCTGTCTGTGGGTAGCAAAGTCACTGATAACTGAAAAACTCTTAAGCAACCTTCTGTGCTGTTTCCTATTGCAATAATTGTACACTGACTGCTCAGAACTGAATGGTGCCTGGTATCATTATTCCAAAACATGTAACTATCCATCCAGATATTTACACTGCCTCTCTCCTACTGCAGAGAGACTACAAATACGAGCACGCAGGGGCAAACAATACTATTAACACTTCTTGCTTTGGCTGGTGTTGCTGTGTTAGGGCAGTGCACGGGCAGGTGCTGTCGTTTTGACAAGGCTGTTGGATAACAGCGACAGGAATCTGTCAGAGGCAGCCCACACACAGGATGTGTCCCGCACAGCGCGCTGACCTCCTCCAAAGAAGTTTCATTTTAGAACTCTACGGAACATGTTACAAATACCAGCTGGCAATGTGCGATGTAGCAGAGAGAAAAGGAAAGGGGCAGCGCAAATAACAAGGAAACGCCCTCTGAGGGCAGCAGTGGGCTGGCTGGAGCACGCTGTGTGATCGCTTGGAGAACCAGGCGGGATCTGAGTGACACAGGGACGCCTGGCCCAGCAAACAAGGAAATGTGCAAAGGCACTTTTGTGCTCCTCCTGCAACTCCCCGACTCTGCAGTTGCCAGAAGATTAGTGCTGTCTTAAAGATAACTCGAGAAGCTTCAGGCTTGGCCAAGAATAAAACTAGTAATAAAAAAACTAATAAAGAATAAGTGCCCTTTCCTTCACAGGATCATATTCACAGCACAAGCAACTCCTTTTTCCCCCAGAAAAGACTCTCACCAGTGCACAAGATGTCAAAGGCCTTGCACATTTGCCTCACTACGACCTCACAGCCTTCTTCTTCTATCTCTTTTTCTCAGGACAACACAGTTCTGAGGGACCTTTTTACTCCTGATTTCCACCTTCTTTACACCACTTGAGGTGCAAAGCTGATGGAGATGAACAACCAACCAGTCACACCACCTAGGCAGACAATAAAATATCAGAGACTCCCAACTAGTAGAAGAGCCTTTGCACACCCAGCCATGACAGCTCAGAGTGCTTTTGCTCCCATGCAAGAGGTTACCAGATCCACAGGAGAGCTTTAAACTTTAATTATCAGACCACCCTCCTGAGCCTATGAGACAAATCTGTGTCCTCTGTCTCCCACCCTGTTGCCAGCATGCTTCCCACTACTGGAGAATGGAGAGGGATTGACTGGACAACACCTTGAGCTACACAAATATAATTGGCAGAGCATTTCAGCAGCATGCTGAGAGCTTGGGTTCAGTATGGTATGTAATGGCAGTATTGTCTTTTTAACAAAAAGTTTTTTAAAAAAATTCCCTACATTATGATTTTGCTTTTGAAAATTGTATTAAGACCAGTGCAGATGCTATTACCAAAGAAGAGATTTGTGAACACCAACAAAATGATTCACCAGTCCCTCAGTAGGAAGTGGTATCATTGCATCACATCTACAGGAGAATGACAGAAGAGATGCATTGTTTCACAGGACAGTGAAGTGCTGTATTTTCCAAAATAGAAGTATTAAATCTGCAAGTATGTATGACAAATGAGAGGAGGAAAATTGTCTGGGCAGTGGCCATCAGATGCTTGTAAACACTATTGAACATTTACAATCTGATCTGGCATAAATTGCAAGCTGAGAGTATTGTACAAATTATACCACAGCCCAACCAGATTCTTTTCTATCTGGTCCATCACTTCTTGCTTAATCCCTCAAGCCAAAACCAGTTAAATCCTTGTTTAGCAGCCATATAGTGAGTGTGTTCTCACATTCTCTTACCTGAGTCCCACGCTCTCTGACCCACATCTCTGTATCTCAGAACAGGCACTCAGTCTTGCCAGGCATTTACACACCTTGGCAGTACACCTGCTCCTACCCTTTGCCTTGCCCAGCATCATTACCCAGGTGCTCCAGTGCTTCTTAGGTCAAAAGGTTGCTGCACAGCCAGGTGGCCTAGGGAACCCTAAAGCTCTCCCAGCCCCTGTGTTACACAGATTCTTGCCTTGTGGCTCACAGTAAGGAGAAGCAGGATATACATATGAGGCAGAGCAAGGAAGTTTTAGGTTTCAGCATGTATGCTACATGTCTTCAAGGATGACACACTGGGTAACAGGTTTTTTAGTTCTTAGAACCATACCCCGTGCTGGACATGCTCTCTGCAGTTGTGCTGGGTGATGTTAGCTTGTCAGCACCTCAAAGCCCTAAGCATGCTGCACTCTGCCATGTCTTTTAATTAATGATCTGCTCCTTGCACAGCAGGCAGCAGGAGGCTTACAGCTACATAACTACCAAACTGACAATGACAAGCTGACATCACCCAGATTAAGAGGATTTTCTTTCTTTTAATCTTGTTCCTTCTCCTCAGCCTGCTCTATGTTCCAAGAGGTCAAAGTACTATCCCTCCAGTTCACTTAACAGTGATGCTTCTCCGTCACCTACAACTCTTCTCTCAAAAACCTATACTTAAAGCACCTAACATCAGCAGCCCCAAGCATTGGAAAGACAATAAAACTTGTGTTGCTTTGCAGCCTGCTGCTCACCTGTGCCAGAGACGAGGGACACTTTGAATCCAGGGAATTGCCACAGAAGAGAATGGCAAATTTTTGACTGGCTTATTTTCTCCAAAATTCCTTTAACTCTCTGCAGGAAGACTGGCGGGTCTGTTGCTATGCAGATCTGCTGGCCCACAGCATGCCAGAGGCTGCTGTCAAATCAAGGCTTTAGGAGCAATCACAGAGCAGCAGGCACATCCAAACAGCACTGGAGAAGTCATCTGCAAGGAAGAGCAAGTCCCATGCCATGTAACATGAAAGCAAGTAATAAGTATTTATTCTGCCAAACATCACTCCTAAACTCCTGGGGACTGGAACTTTTTTATGCAACTCATATCCTCCAATCTAGTAACCTCAGTTCCCTGGAGACTGGTGCTGTAGGACACACAGATGGGGCTGAGAGCTGAGAAGCTCTTGGATTTCTAATGTATCCAGCCACACTTGGAGCCAGCCAGAGCAATGTAGGACTGCTCATGCAATACATCTTCTTCCCTGGGTTCACCTAGAAAAGCAAACCACCAGCCCTCCAGCTCAGCCCTCAGTTACAGAAGTAGCACAGTGGAAGGGAAGCTGCTCTCTTGATTTCAGCAGTGCCCACAGGCTCTGGTGCACTGACCGACAGTTCCTGTCCCACAGAGCTGCATCCAAAATAACAAACAGCCAAAGGGAGGAGACACACACCAACAGGAAACTTGACCGAGGGATTTTTCTGTGTGGTGGAGAATGAGTGACTATATTTTTGATACAGTTGCAAGCAAGACCTCAGGGGTCTTGAAAAACAAAATGGAAATGCCACCTGCATTAGACAAACAGGCAAAGCACTGGGCCTGATTTTCCACTGGTGACCCTTACATAACATCCACGTAACTGAAACAATTTTCACGTTTACTCCTCATACAATTAAAAAAGAAGAGAATCTAATTTTCTGTTTGGTTTGGAGAAAAAGCTACTGCTTTTGGCATACAGAAGCATAAGTAATCTGTTAGCAAGCATTTTAGAGAACATCTCAGTTTGGTGAACATATTCCCTCAAGTTATTTCTATGATCTAAGTGAGCAGCAAGTGCTGTACTCATCTCTTTCAAAATTATTCACTATCATCAGTTAATGAGTCCTGCATTACAAATTCCATCCAAAAAGCCTCCTTGTTGTACATGCACATCACTTCACTAAAGTCATGGAGACATTCCCCAGACAGAGCAGACTGAAATAGATCAGACACCCAGTCTGTAATGATTACCTGGAAAAGTGAATGTTTCCTTTCTTCTGTGTATTATAAAACCCCATGTACCACAGGAACAGAATCTTAAAGGCCACACAGTACTTTCACTTCATGTGTGCATCTTCCACTGATGTCAACTGGAATAAGTGTGAGCACCTGATTCTCAGCCAGTGTAACTTCTGCCAGGAACTATTTTCAAACATATCCCATCAACTCTGGGCTCACACTTTTATCCCAATAAAATTTCATATCTCTCCACACCATCAAGACTTGTACTTAAAAGTGGCAATATTTAGCTCATGCAAGTAAAGCTTACTTTAGCAAATACTGGAGATTCATTGAAAGCTGAAAGCACTTACAGATCTTGGCTCCAGGAAAAACATTCTCTGCTCTACAGAGTTTCAAATGGCATGGCCACATTCGTAGGCATAAGGACAGCTGGTAACTTAGGGTGAGATTACCATAGTTTAAGAATTTAACAAAATGAAGATGGCTTAAGCCATCTTCACCACATGACTTGTGCATAAAGAGCAGAGCTCTGCTGGAGCTCAGCTGGCTCCTCAAGCACAGCTGAAGAGCTACAGAGTGTTAAGCTACAGCATCATGGCAGCTTCTAATTGTCTCTTATATTCTAAGAGCTAAACTATCCTTGTTCCAAGGCATGGGTCAAAATACTGCAAGAAATGCAGGTCATGGAGTAGAAGAAAGGTTATTTTGAACCTCTTAGACTTCTCACAAAGTTTTCCGTTTTGCAGATAGATTTAACCAATTTCATCATTTTGGTTACATCAGAACATCTTTATATCAGAACAACCAACTTTTTGTTATCAAGCCCCTCTTTTAATTCTAGCTATATGCCATTCCCTTGAACTCAAATAGCTCAGATTCACACATAAAGATTGAGATGAGATAATGGAAATAAAAGATAATGAATCAACTGGTTTTGTACACAAAATAAGCATCCGTAATTACAGAGCAGTCAACACACTGGCTCTGGCTTGAGTTACATTACACTGGGCCCTTGGGATCCCAGGACATAAAATCACCTTTGCTCTCTCTGTCACAGGTCAAGTATAGCTCAGCCAAACCAGGAGATTTGTGCCAAACAGTTTGTATTTCCAACAATTAAATATTGAATTCTTCTTTTAGGAGTCATTCACAAGTCAGCTTGCACAATTATTTGCATACACAGCCACTTTATTTCAGCCTCCAGTACAAAAACCTATTAACAGTTGGCCAGATTCTGCTCTCATTTGTCCCAGTGCAAAACCTCGCCATTTTCATTAAGATCCGTGGAGCCAGAGTTTCATACCATACAAGGGAGAGCACCACTCCTTCATGAGGCAGCTCACACCACCAGTGAGTTGTGTGCCTGTGACATATGTGACCTGAAGGTTTCTGTTCTGTGGCACAGGCCACCAGTTCTGCTCACTGTTCGAACTCTTCTGCAGCCTCACCATGTCCCTCATGGCCTTAATTTTAAATGGACTTTGTTTCAATGACAGACCAGAGCACATTACTTATTCCCCTTAATTCACTGGATTTACCAGAAGCACACTAGCTGAGTACCACTGAAGAAAAGGCAAATTTGTTTCTACAGTGTATTTACACACAATAAAATGAACCAATCAAGCAAACAAACTGTACCCAATGTTCCCTATTATGAACTGAAAGCAGAAGAAACTCTTCTCAGTATTTCCAGTACTTATAAAAGCATGTTTATATCCTGTGTAACCCAGGGCTTACATCAATTACTTGGTCCTCGAAGCTTTGAGCCAAGTTTTCTCCACAGTATTTACTCCCTGGAACCCAAAGGAGTCATCATATAACTGGTCTCCAACACTGTTTCTTCAGTGCCCTCCACATTGAGGGCAAATTTTGCTCATTCTTCCTGACTGACAGATGAGCCTGGTTTAACTTCCTGGACCCCCTCTGCTATACATGTCACAGCCATGGTAACACTCCTGGTGTAACACCTGGCCAGGGATGGGCAGCTGGGTGCCAGTGGGCACCAGGACAAGTGCACTGGGAAACAAGCATGCTGCTGCCAGTCAGTCAATTACAACGAGCTCCAGAGCATGCACAGCCAGCCTGAGAGAACAGAAATCTTAATCATGCTGCTCTGCATGCCCACAACAGCTGGCTTAGGAGTCACTGCTCTGCTCTTCTACAGACCCAGTATTTGGAAATGCATAACCACTGTTTCATGCTTCTATTTTTTTTTCTGGTAATGTAATAAAGCAATTCTCCATTATAAGAAATGTGAGCATTTGTGACCATGATGAGGTTCAGAGAAGGTACAACCCTCTGAACAGAGCTGTGGCTGAACAAGCTCTTGTTCCCCCCATCAGGCAGTCTGACCTCAGACTAGAGGCACACACCACCCCATGCAGCACCATCCTGCAGGACTATGTGCCCTGCAGACACAGATTTCTGCCACCTTGTGTGAGCACACCGCCCGAGAGGCAAACTCCCCCAAATACTTCCCCTTGCACAAAGGGAAAAGTAACTTATTTCACAAATACAAGGCACACTGAATCACCCCAGCTTGACTACTGATCCATGCCAAATAAACAGTGCTAGTTTCAAGGAGCTCCTTCTGACACCCTTCCACTGAATAATTTAATTGAAGGGAAAAATTTGACATGTCATAGCACAGTATCTCTGATGCTAATCCACATGTCTTTTTCTCCCTATTAGAATACATGGAAGCAGAAGGTTGTCACATTTTTCAAGAAAAAATGCTAATAAGTGGGGTTTAACTCTCTGGTAAGCCTGGAAAACAAGACAAGGGGTGAGCCAGCTCCTCTGTGCACAATCCCCCAGTGGCTCAACCAAAGCATACCTACATGAGGCAGGAACCAAGAAGAGAATTAGATAATTGTGTTCCAAGTGTGCACAGCCAGATTTGTAAACAGAGAACACGGTCACTGTATTTGAAATGGAGTATTATCATCTCAATAAAGCAGCAGTATGAGACTATGCATTAACATTTTAATTCCCAGGTAAAGCTAGGGTCAAAGCACAGCAAATTTACAAAACAGCTCTTAACTGCTAGGAAAGGACATTGGTCAGGCTGCTTGGACAACCTTACTTGCACCTCCTTGTATAGGGAATGGGTGACTGAATACTGTAACACAGTGTTTGCCTGGAGTGTAAGTCTAGTAACAGCTTCAGAGCCTTCTGCCTCAAATTCCTGCATGCTGACACAGCATATATGGGTTACACGTGTCCTATTTAGCATTATGTATACACCAACAAATACAGATGCAGATAACTTTGATAAATCAAGTATTCATGTGATTTCTTTCATATTCTCCCAAATATTTGCCACTGTTACTGCAATGCCTTCCAAAGGGAGAAGCACCGGTACAATTCCAAAAGGTTACACAAATGAGGCCCTCATTCCCCCTGCACACCAGGAAGAACTTACACTGTACAATAAGGACAAAGCTTTTAGCATAACTCAAAAGCCACATGGACCTGCAGCCTACTACAGGAACACAGCAGAAGAGATCAGAGACTTTGTTAGCTGAAAAGAAAGCAAAATGTGCTAAGTTACGCAATTGTTTTGTGGACTTAAATTGTGTTGGCATCCTCATACAGTGTTGTAAATTTAAGTACACACATAAAGATAAAAATACAGTTACAACACTGTCATGAGTTCCATGCAAATAGGTCTATATGAGCCATGTCAATCAATCCCTGTGTGAAAGGCTCTCTGCAGGATCAGGACTGTAACCTATGTACAGAAATGCTGGTAAAATGTGTTTATGTAATATGTAAATAGATAAAGAAAAGTACATTCACACCAACTACTGAGGAAAGAAAACTAATCATTTTTCTACTGCTAAAAGTACTGAATCACTTACCATCTGGTTTGTGAGGGGAAAAAAACTCAGTCCAATGCAGCCATGAAGAAAATCCTGTCTAAAAAAAGTAATCACATGCTAGATCCCCCTAAGTTTAATTTCCAATCATTTTAACACAGAGACATGGAGAATTTTGTTTTCCTGAAGATTAAAAAAAACCCAAACCAACAGTAAGGAGGATGTGTGGCTTGTTAGGCCCTGATCCTTCTATGGGAGATAGTGGAAGCTAGTTTTCAGGAAAAAGTGGAGTTTCTGCATCTGTTTCTTCTGGAATTCATTCTAATTTTCCAAGAAAAATCTACCACACTTCTGTTATCATGCTGTGAAATGCAAAAGTAAAACAAAGATATTTAGTATCTGAACTAACTTGCCATTATACCTTGACAACTTTGGGATGGATCCTCCATCATCTGAAGTTATACATATGCAGAAGTGACAGATATATTATTCTACCCTAAAAAGGGCATGTGGTCACATAAATACTCTGAGCATTAAAGCACAACCAGCAAAGGTCATGTTTATGACTCTGGCAAAGATTGATCAGTTCCAAACTTGTGACTTGTCACTTTGTCCTCAAACAGACCACTACTATCTTAATTTTTAAAGGAATTAAAAATTTTATATCATCATTTCAATCCACACTACAAAACCCAGCCTACACACGGCACTGATCTTCCAAAGGCCTTTGTATGCCTCCTTTAACAGCTGTTCATCTGCAGCTCTATGCCATGGAATCAAACTTCCCTGTTCCCTCCTTGCCTCGTTCCCCACACCACACCAACTCACCTCTTGATGCTGCCTCTCTGGAACATCTCCCTGGCCTCACTCACTGGCATTTCTTCCATTTTTTCCTTCATATTTTTCTCTACTAATTGCCAATGATTTCTAATGGGTGTTTTTTGATTTGGAAGTAGTCAGACACTGGCTGATCTCTCAGAGATCAGTGCTGTGCATGGGTGGGTGTAACAGTTCTGCAGGTCTTGGCCTTTTTCTTCTGCTTCCCTCAGTCCACTTCACTTGCTTCAACACTTGAATAAAATTTCCTTCCTCCTCACAGAGGCATGGAGTTCAACATAGACCATTTACCTATAGGACAGAAAATGATTTTATTTGATTTACCAATTAACCTAAACCTTACAAACGTCTGAAAACACTGAAAGATATTTCCATCCCACTAAATACCTTACCCACTAAGTTTTACCATTAACCTCTTTTGCTGCTGAACACTAAGTCTTTCCATGAAAAACTATATCTATTATTTATTTAAAATTGAAAAATATTCTTTGCCTGTCCTTTCCTTCTTAAATTTGTCCTTGTTGATTAGCCCTATATAGATCCCCACTGGGATAAAATTGATCCCAAGTCATTAAGAAATTAAGTTGTTCTCTCTCTTGCTGAAAAATTATTCTTAAATAATGTGTTACATGTATAACCAAAGGCAATTAAGTTACTATGGCTTGACCTGTGTGACAGCCATACTCAGTCCTCCCTCGTGATTCTGAGAAAGAAAGGCTTAGCATCAAGATATTCTGTGCTGAAGCATTTTTGGCAGTGAGGGAAGGCTATGAGTGAGCAAGTGTGACTCAGTGGCACAGCAGTAGCTCTTTAAGCCACTGACAGATTACTTTAGACCTTCCTGGTAAGGCTGTTCCAGAGTTGGTGTGTGACCACTACTCAGCACGGCACAGGCAGTGGCAGTCACACAGCTCACACCCTCTGGGACCCCAGGGTTAGTGACCAACCTACTGCTACCTACTGCCAGTTCTGGGCTCTGAGAGAGTGGAATCACACCCTAGCCTGGGACAAAAGTGCTCTTTTACTGCACCTATCACACAGCAGGTAAAAGTAAATACGGCACTGAGGTCAGTGATAATGAGAACAGACATGCACACAGACACAGGGCTTTCCCTGCAAGGGAGCAGCGTTCTTCCTCCTCACACCCAGGGCTGGCCTTGAGCAGCCAGTGAGTTCAGGAGTATGGCCATGGCTAACCCACAGCAGCCACCACCACAGGCTAACCTGGGCAGCACCAGAGACTCCAGCACAGACCTGATTCACAGCAGTGCAAAGCATGAAGTTGGAGGAGATGAACTCAGATGATCAGAACAAGGCTCGTTATTCCTGCAAATTCATGCACGGGGAGTTGCATGCTGCACAGCCTTTCCTACTCTGAGTCACTCCAACTCCTGCTCTAGGCTGTTCTGTAGCAAACTGTCAATAAAACCCATTAATGATGTGCTTTACCTAGAAAGTGCACTTAACTGAGGAGCTACAACACATGAAGAGGTGAAATCTATGGTTCACAGAACCATAGAATGGCCTGGCTAGGGGCTGACCTTAAAGATCATGTACATCTAGTTCCAAGTCCCCTGCCATGGGCAGAGACACCTTGCACTACACCGGGATGCTCAGAGCCCAGTTCAGCCTGGCCTTGAGCACCTCCAGGGATGGGGCAGCCACTCAGGGCAACCTGTGCAGGGCCTCAGCACACCCACAGTAAACATGTTTTTCATAATATCTACTCTAAATCTATTCTCTTTCCAACTGAACCCATTAACCCTTGTGCTATCTCTACAAGCCTCAGAGAAAAGCCTGTCTCCATCCCTCTTGCAGCCTCTTCAGGTACTGGAAGGCCACAATTAGGTCACCCACATCCATTGTCCAGGCTGAACAAACCCAATTCTCTCAGCCTGTCCTTGCAGGACAGTTGCTCTGTCCCTCTCACCATCTTGGTCGCCTCCTCTGGACTCTCTCCAGCAGTTAATAGAATGCAGGATGCATCTCAGTAAAGAAGTGGTAAAGGTGGGTGGGAGTCTTAATGTTGCATAGATCTGCTTGATGTTTGGTATATATATGAACCTAATTCCCCTTTTGATTTCAGTGCAGTTATATCTAGCACTCCCCTGTGTTTCTACTGATATATAAATTCTCTGATGAATAATTGAGAACCAACTTTCTTTTACGTAAGCCTTTACTGGAGAGCCAGCAAATATTACAGACATGTTGTTTGTCTTCTCTCTTTTCAGTCCTGTTCTCATCTGAGTCACGTTTGGCTAGCATTCCATCTAGCTCCTCGACTGGTGGCAGCTATTAAAACAAAACAACAAAACAAAACACACCTTTGAAGATCCGATGGCAGGAACAGTGCAAAAGAGATGCTCTTTGGCAGAGATTCTTGGGTGTTGTCCTATGTAAGTACACATCTGCAGCTGCTGGCAACATTACAGTAGAGGATGGTTTCTGTACTGCCTGTACAAACTCTGACTCTTGTAAAAAATTCTGGCCTTGTGACACAACATTTAGCAACAGGTAAGCAGAGACTTGCTACACAAGCAGCTGACATCTTCATCCACTACAGATGGTTTTAGGGAATTCTAATTTCTCAAAAGAAATTGGGAGGATGTGGGGAACAACCCCTAAAAGAAAGCTTGAATTAATCAGGGTTTTTCACAAACTTGGAGGGAACTGTAATATGTAACAGCAACAAAGAAGCAAGAAGTTGTTCACAGTTTGGAGTCCAGGTAGAAAGGGGAGGAGACTGAAAGTAGTGGGGTTGGGCAGGAGAAAACAGCTGTGACACTTCCGTTCTCTTTCTGTGTGTGGAAAAACAAAACAAACACAGGAGGAGACCAAAACCATAACCTGAACCTGACCTCCCGCTCACTGGTTGTATCATAAAACCTCCAGCTGAACTTTGGTCATTGCATGACCAACGTAATGCAGTCCCAAAGCCTAGCCAAGCAACACCATGATTTTTTTTTTTCTTTCTCACATATGCTCAAGATAGTAGAGGCCAGTTAAGAATATGGCCTTTCAGAAGAAAAAAACATGTCAATTTAATTGCCAGTTGGCTGGACAGTCTGCTTTCCTGTTGAGGTTGGTTTGTGGGTTTATTTGAATATCAGTGCACTGAAAAAATGTGGGTGTGATACAGGATTTAACTGGAACATTAATATATTTTTGTCTGTATCTGTTAGAAATGGCAATCAATACAGCAGTTAAAAACATTGGTGATCATAAGGTGACCAATTACACAAAATATAAACCTCATCACTAGTTTAATGTGGCACCAGGATTGTCCACATAAAGATGTTCTTAAAATCTTAATAAACATCCTTGTACGTAGAACTTATGATTCATGGTTTACAGAGTGATAAGTAGTGAAAGGGTCAAGTAACTCACCTAATACTCAGCAAGGCAAGAGCAAGCTGAGTTCACACTCAGGATCCTGCTTTTCTCTGCTGATCTTTCCTTCAACTGCACGTTACTCCAAGCACACAATGCACGACAAATACCAAGCATTGTTTCCACAAAAGATCTGATTTTTGTGCTGCATAGAAAAAGAACCAGTGTGTCCAAAAGTGAGTATTCTAGCACTCACTTGCAAGCAAAGTGCAATCATTGGGGTTGGACACAAATAGGTGGCCAATTAAGAATTTATCATTATCACTGATAACAGCACTGCCAAAAATTCCAGTGCACATCTTCACAATTAAATTGCCTGCCCCTGTGAAGGGGGCTGAATAGAACACACTGAACATGGAACCTTCCAATCCTTCTGCTTCTGACAAAATGCCAGTTGCCAACCAACAGCAATGAGTGTCCTCAGGAGTTCATTCTCATGCAGGAAGGCTCACAGACCTTTAAAGACTCTCCCTCTCCACTTGGGATAACGCCCCCTCGTGCTAAGCATCCTGCCAGGTACAGAAATACACACCCCATCTTCACCCTGTGCTCCCAACACCGGCACAGGCAAATCACCCAGCACTTGACAAACAGCTGGAGACTGCAGTGCTTTGTGGCTTCAGGTGGAACTTGAAAGCAGCAGGTCAAATGAACATCCTTCTCTGTGGAGAGAGACGTCATGACCTGAATTTGCATTCTGTGCACCAAATTTGTTTATAGAGGGCAGGAAATAGTTTTGGAAAAAAAGATCCAAGACACATCTTTGTCTACAGCATCAGTATGTCATCCTCTACCGGG